AGTCAGACTACAGTCTAATGGTTTGTCCATACACTTGTTTGATGTTTGAGTCAGACTACAGTCTAATGGTAGATACATACCCTTGTTTGATGTTAAAGTCAGACTACAGTCTAATGGTTAGTCCATACCCTTGTTTGATGTTTAAGTCAGACTACAGTCTAATGGTTTGTCCGTACCCTTGTTTGATGTTTAAGTCAGACTACAATCTAATGGTTTGTCCATACCCTTGTTTGATGTTTAAGTCAGACTACAGTCTAATGGTAGGTACATACCCTTGTATGATGTTTGAGTCAGACTACAGTCTAATGGTTAGTCCATACACTTGTTTGCTGTTTGAGTCAGACTACAGTCTAATGGTTTGTCCGGACCCTTGTTTGATGTTTAAGTCAGACTACAGTCTAATGGTAGATCCATACCCTTGTTTGATGTTTAAGTCAGACTACAGTCTAATGGTTTGTCCGTACCCTTGTTTGATGTTTAAGTCAGACTACAGTCTAATGGTTTGTCCATACACTTGTTTGATGGTTGAGTTTTACCACAGCTTAATAGTTGGCTCATGATCATCAATGGATGCAATTGCAGCAGTGATGAACTTTGTCATAGCTTTTTACTGACTGAGAAATTCCCCTTTAGCTCAAAAGTGCCACCTACAGTCAAACTCTCGTTGAGTCATATACTCTAATGTCATGATCAAGTTTTACTTTAGTTTTTATATATATAATGGCTTATTCATAAAGTAATGTTTTCTTTCCCTAAACAGTAGTTTGGACTTCCCAAAGGTAACTGCTATGTATTAGCTCACCTCGGGTATTACTGGAGGGGTCATTAGGTTTTTAACTTTGTCTTCTAATTTGTCTGTTGTCACCTTGTCCAGGACATAACTTGTATACTCTGCCACCTGCAATTGCCAAATTTTGCATACAAGTACCTCTTGGAATGGCAGAGAGTATGGTACTGAGATTGGTTTTGTGCCTCATTTCATACAAAGTTATGGCCCTTTGTTCACTAGAGTATCGTCCAAAGCACAACTTCATTGCTATTGCACCCATTTACCATTAAGTTGCTAAACTTATGTGTCTTTGATTACCAGGTATGTTCTTCATTGTCGAATCTGGGGAAACAATACTATAACGGCTACATAAAGCAGGGACTACAGATTGCTGGGAATACATTGGCTGTTTAATCATGTTCTGATAGTTGAGTCATTGGTCCATTAAACTGTAGCGGAACTGGACTGGGTCGATCGCCAGCGACCAGGCAGTTCAATTGGTTAGAGTGTCCGTCTAGAGTTCGGAGGGTCCCAGGTTCGAACCCCTGTCTGGTTGTGAATTTTTCTGCTCCTACTACATAACTATGATGATTTCTAATTGTGGAGTCATATTTCAAAAATCTAGGTTGATTAGAAAACATATTAAGATTTTAAAATTAAAAAAAATCAATAATTCTTTTTGCAGTCGCTGCCATCTCCTTCTGGTCGACGAGGAAAAGATTCTCCGTCCATCGAGGTGGCATCACAGTCCCGATTTGATGTAAGTTGACCTCTGTTTATGTGACTATACTTAACGTGTTGTTTATTTGTCGTGGCTGGGTGATGAGTGTTTTGTGGTGACATGAGAGGTCTAGGTGGTTTATTTCAATAAGTGAGGTGGAAAGGAGGAAAGATGAGAAACCACCATTAAAATGTATAAATCCCGAACTTCCACCAGACATTTATTTCCCTTACACCAATCAATGGACAAGGGTTGATCACAGTGTTCCATCAACAAAAATCTCAGAAGCATGGAGCATAGTTATTATACCTTGTCCAACCACACTTAACCACAAGTCCACGACAGTACTTTAGTCAGTACTAGAATACTTTCTTCTACCACTTGCCTTAACATCGTTATTTTAGAATTATAAAAAACACTTGACAGAACTATTTCTTACCTGTTCTTACCCTAAGTTTTTGGATGACTTCCCAATTTCGAAATTATTGCCCAGTCTCCAATATAATGTTGGATGTATTGCGAGACTATTTAATAGTTTTTGTTAGAATAATTTGATGCAGATTATAAGACTCTTTCGTATGTACCTGAGGTGGATAAAGAATTCCTCCCGAGGGGATCATAAATTTGGGTAAAACCCGGGGCTTCAACATCATATATTGGAAAGTGATGTGAATGTGAAGTGATGAGAAATAAGAACTCTTTCTTACATATTTATTGAAGATTGGGGAGTTCTAGCCACAAGGTTCAGCTCAGGATCCATCCTGATAATCAGTTACAGTGTACTTATGTTTTCCCTAATTTTATGCATTATTTTGTATTTAGGAATACATATTTACCCTAGATTTTTGTGCCCACCCAAAAGTTTTGTATTGGCATTTAGTGCTATGCACTGTTAAAGTCAGAACTCCTGCTCTGTATAAGCATAGGAAAAATGTTTTTTGGAAATAAAAAAAAAATGCCTACCTACCTACCCTATTTTTTCTGAGGGTGATAGGGGAAACACAAGATTTTTTTTTGTCTTGCCCCACAATCTTAAAGAGACTAAAGTATAAATAAAAAAAACAGATCTGTCATAATTAAGATTCATATTGCAATTATGTTTTCATTCAGTTTTCTGTTTCAAAGACGCCAAAAATGTATGTCTCCATTTGTTTTTTAGATTTTCCAAAAAACAGAAATAATAAAAAAAAGTTCCAAAGTTTCTACCTAAGTAGAAAATTAACTCACAACATAGGTCTAATAACTTTTAGATCTTGAATTGACAGAGTTCTAGGAAATGGATTGTCCGATGTTTTAAAGCTCAGAAGATCTTAAACTTACACTTGTTGACATTTGGTTGTCAATTTCCAGATAGACACGTGCACTGATATCGTAAAGTTTGGAAAAAACTTTTGGATCAAATTTACTGTAAGTTTAGGTCACATAATTGTGCATATATTTATGTTAATATGGGATATTTTTAATTTCATTTGACATTGAAAATAGGAAAGAGAGCCTCAAAATTCTTCGACTATTTTGTATGATTCTTTTGATATATTTTTTTCATAATTAATTCATTTCTTCTGAAATTTACTTCTTTTTTCAGCAACAATCATGTTCAGTTATTTCCCACTGTTGTTTAACAGTTGACATAATCCTCCAATAATTACGAATATATATTAATAGTGCGTGATATCGTATCATGATTTATTTAATTGTTTAGCCAAAGCACCAATATAAGTCATCAGTAAATTGGAGCTACAAAGGGTAGCTACACTTTACCTCTCCACTACGACCATAAATACCAAAAAATACCCATCCTATTCCATCTTAACGTCTCGAATCTCGAATCCAATTACGTACGCTCTCACTTTTTTTCATGTGCCCCTGGTTGAGCTGGTTTTTGTGTGTTGATGCCACTTAACTTGTGGAGCAGGTGCTTTCAGTGGCCACTACGCAGCAAATTAAGTCAGCTCAATTTTTTTAATTCAACAGTTCTCAATTATTTCCAGGTTGATAAGGTGTAACACATGTACCGTGGTCATGTATTGGAAATATTCTTTTCTTAAACCATTAAATTGTGATAAAGATTTTCGAAGGTTTTCCCTTTACATATCAATTATTGAACAGAACATTGATAGCGTATCGTTTAATGGGTGTCGGCCCATCCAGATAGGAAACTAGCCAAACTCAACTCTTCAGGGGACCATCATGCCGGATCCTAGAATTTGAGGAAAAGTCAAATTGTCACATTAAATAGTCGGTATAGACTTGGTCGCAGATGCGACTTGGTATGTGTGGAGTGAAATAAGTGACCAAGAGAGTCTTGCTAGCATTTTGTTCAAATTACACAATTCAATTTTTATCTGCCTTACTTTTTATCTGTCGCTCTCTTGATGGGGGGAAAAAGTCTACAGGGATTTGTGCCGTGGACAGAAGGCCAATTATTCTCCGATTACATTTCAAGTTCCTGTCGGAGGACATGTTCCTCGAGTAAGTGGTGGGAAATTTTCTTTGGAACAATCTTACCTAAATCAGAACGTGGATAATTTTGTCTTTAAAAATTGATATGAATTTTTGGGACAATCAGACTTTATTAAAGATATACATGGAGATTGTTTTGTCTTTGAAAAATTCATATATTTTTTTCATGTTAAGTATATTGATAATATTTTTTATTAGAAGAACAACTTAGGAATATAAGCATACAGAAAATTAGGCCCACAATTGTGTATCTAGCTACCAGAAGATTTTGAAGAGAAATATTATTATACATTTAATTAAAAAAACATTTTTTAAAAGAAAAAAAATAACAATATATGTTCAAGTTTTCATAATTACCAAACATGATTATTTCTTTGAATGAAAATCATAAAGGTTTAAAAATATTGAAATGAACATTTTTTTTTTTAAATATTCTGGGGGAAAGAAAGGTAGAAAATGATAATTATTCATGTATGATCAATTACAGCCTTGACCAGATTTGAAAAATAGGCTTGATCAATTTATTTTGTTTTACAATTTTATTCAAATACATGAATCTATAAATTAAAACAAAATTTCAGCTTCTTTTCACCTATTTGAATTTTGTTTAATGAAACACGTGTCGCATAGCTCGGCCATCTCCTACAGCACCTGTACTATGAACCTGGCTATTTACCAGACACGGGAACCTGTTGTTCATTTGTCAATTACTTTCTTTTTATCACTTAATAAAACAAGTGTTGAATGAGGGGTGGGGGTTAAATAAAGTGTCCTCGGGTAGGAGGTGTGCAATAGAGTGCACTGTTAATTCGATATGCTCACTCAACTACGGCGGTAGAGCTCACCGCAAAATAATCACACGTTACCGTATACAGCCAATGTCCCTCTGAGAAAGTAATAATTATTTCGAGAAATTTACCAGGTGCGAAAGTAGGAATGTCTATAAGACTACCAGGAAGGTGGGCTGACAATAGGGTGATTGAGAATTATTTATTGAAAAGCGACATGTGTTTGATAGGGTAAATATACCCTGTATATTGTATTGTAAGTGTGTTTGTTTTTTCGTTGAGATAATTACAGACTGGTAGACTGATGTAATTTCAAAACACTGGGCCGTGAGACGGACTTGTTTGACCACAGCCCAACCCTCAATTCCATGTTTAATCTAGCAATTAGGGTTTTCATTTTTTCGCTGTATAACACCTCATTACAAATTATTGACAAAAAATATTTGCAATTTTTTTTGTCTATTGAATTCTGTCACAATAATTGATAATCATTTACTGTTTTTCTCGGAGGGAACATAAGGGTAACAGTCTCAGAACTGTTTGAGTTTAATCTTAAATTGTCAGAACTTATCACAAAGTTTGACAAAGATTAAGTAAAAAGGAAGTTATTTTAAGAAATAAAAAGAAAATTAGTTCGTGTTTTAGTTTTTACTGAAGAATATTTTGTTCCCCCCCTGGTCAAGTGTTGGAGACATGACATCAGGTGATTAGTATACTGGGCCAGTAATTTGTCTGTGTACAGTGGTAATTTAGTGCTTGCTCACGATTGATTGTAGAGTTAATTTCTACAACTAGCACACAAAAATCTCTTAATTTGGGAGAAAAATTGACAAAACGCTGCTCTACGTTGAGGGCATGTTGCAGTCCATTGTTCAAGGGGCTTCCACTGAATTGTGATGTTAGAAATTCAGGCAGAATACTCCAACTGTTTGTTCAAAGGGGATAAAGCCTGTCTGACAAAATGAAAGCTTTACGCTGACCAAAGATAATCTGCTGTTACACACTGTGGTCAGGATCTGATCACGGATGAAGCTTGGCCCTGAAGAAGAAAGCGAGAAATTGTGAGCGTGTTGTCCCGTTGTTGAGCGACATCAAATACCCGCGGTGTTATCACTAAATAGGATTAGGTGTTAAGTAGCGGCATGAGTGGGCCCCAAAGTTTTTCTTCATTACAGATTAGACGCATTACAGGCTCGACCAAGTAGTCAAATGGGGTAGCTGATAATTTCATAATCAAGAAATATGCCCGTCTAAGTGACATTAAACGAAAGTGATCAGCTCGAAATCTACTGATAAATTGTCGTCAATAATGACAAAGTAATTTGCTCTATCTGCCTACTTTTGAAGGTAATTAGTTAGGTTTGGACAGGGAATACGCCAAGATTTGTCTGCATTCTCCATCATAATTGACTTGTATAGTTACATCAACGCGGTAAGTACACAAATAATGTGTGATAACTCCCCTCGGATTAGATGATACAACATTAAAGGGTTTCAACCGCCATATACTATGTCAAATAAAATTCCACAAACCTTATTCTCCTATCTTTTGATACAAAATTGAATTACTCATGGATTAAGTGAAATAAATAAAAGTACCTTTACTCGGTGGAAAAAGATATATGAAATTCTTGCTGCTGGTAGGACAGCGATTGTCACGTCTTCTCAACTTAATGGAAATAAAAGTACCTTTGCACTTTCTGATTGAGATTTAAAAAGTTTGAACTTGAGCTGTTATGCAAAAGGAAAAAATGTAAACATTTGAAAAGATTTCTCAAGTAGAAATTA